ACTCCACAACACAACACATAATATTAAACAAAAAAAAAGAGTAAAAAAGAGAAAGAAAAGTTGTTGGTGTTTGACATTGTCCATGGGGTTTTCTTGGCAAGGATACTGGAGTGGGTTGCCATTTCCTTCTCCAGTGCACCACATTTTTTCAGACCTCTCCACCATGACCTGTCCATCTTGCACAGCATAGCTCATGGCTTCATTGAGTTATGCAAGCCCCTTTGCCCTGACACAGCAGTGATCCATGAAGGGGAAGGAATATCCAGTTCAGTGGAAAAGCTGGGGGAAGAAAGCAATACCATCCTATCTTAATAAAAATGCACAATTGGAAATCTACTGGCCATCCAATTCGAAAAACTTAGCAAATGTTGTCAGTAAACAGTATGAACTGCTTCAAGGGGCAGGTAGCTAAAAGCTGAACTCATTTGAGCTCCAAGTTTGTCTTTGTCCAGCCTGGAACTACGCTTCCAAGAACCTTTTTAACATGAGAATGAAAAGAGATTGTATTCTCTGTGCAAAATCCTAATGAGAGTAGTCTGTTGACTATGCCACAGATGGGACCATTGTTCATGCCTGAAGGTAATCTAAAAGTTGGCAGTTATTTGAACAAGTAGATTGTGCAAGTAATGGAATACTCCATTTGTGCGCATATATTAATGAGAGTATCCTCATAATGAAGTAAAAAACCTCTTAGATATTCAGTTATTGAGAACAATTGTTTCTGAGCCCCAAAAAACTATCCTGGAGTCTTCAAAGGAATTTGAGTTGATCAGTTTACTAAGTTAAAGACTACAAGTGTCTTGGCCCATGGGAACAATGAGGCCATCTTGACCTACCAATGATCTTTGGGAAAAACTTATTGGGAATGCATGCAGGAGCTCTTTTGACCAATCAGTAGTCTGAAGTGTCTGTGTGCCTGCTGCTATAGAGCAAGGAATTTCATGGCAAATTTCTTTGTTTGGATTCACTGGTTTGGCAAATGAGACGGGTAAGAAACTTCAAACTCCCATATTACCATTTTAAATTGAGCAGTCTGATTCCTTTAGGATTGAACAATAAAGGTGATCTGTCTGAGTTGGAAGATACTTCAGCTGAGTGAGTTGAGTCTCTACCTGGTCAGCTCTCTTGACTGTTTATTAGGGGGGGAAAGTTATATACCTCTGTGCTTGTTCATTTGAGCTATGGCCATGGAGCTAATCTTTTGATCCATTCCCAATCATTATAGAAGAAAATAGGTTTTGTTCAAGCCAGTAATTTGGCTTCTTAGCCAAAAAGACTGGCACCTGTGATTATGATAGTCTGTAGGAGATTTCAAAGGAACATTGAGAATTCATGGTAAGGATATTCTCATTTGTTCAGATGTTCATTGTTTTAAGTTAAAAGATCAAGTTTATTTTTAAAGTTTTTTTTCCACCTTCCAAGGAAGGGAATTAATTAATCTTTTCCTGCAGCATCCATCCTCACTGGCCAAAAGAAAACTTTATAAAAAGCCAGATAAATGTAACGAATCAAACTGGATATATTATGCATCTCCTATATTTAATTAATGAAATGTGTTGTATGTAAAGTATTCATTTTAAATTCTGCATATATTTTACATTTTAGATATGCATTTCTTAATTTTAAAACAGCCTGTGATGCAAAGCTGGCTGTGAAAGAAATGAATGAGAGAGAAATAAAAGGAAAAGCAATGAAAGTTCGACTTGTAAGGACAGTTAGGGAAAATGGAATCCAAGATTATCAGAACTCTATGAAACAAGAGTGTGAAAATCAAAGGCCACTTTCTCAAAAGAGAAACGAATATTGGAAAAACTCTGATCCAATTTTGGAAGTTCCTGCTATAACCTCAGCCACATTCATACTGCCTCCAGATGATTCCTTCTCTTTAAAAAAGTCTGATGTCTCCAAAGATGATTTGAAGTCACCATTGCCTCTTTTGCCATTGGCAAATGTTCCCAGACCCACCTCAGGCTCTTCAGAAGGGCCCCTTTGTGCTTCAGGCCTTTCCAAAGTGCCCCATTCTGGCATTGTATCTTCTAAATCTTCATCAAGGAAAACATCCTTTGAAGAGGTAATTTTTATGGGATTGCATGTCAGAACCTACTTTAAAGACATATCTCCATCTGTTGCAAGGTTTAATATAGATAAGCTTGCTTAACTGATAAATGCAGGTCCTCGTGGGTCACCATTTCTCTCAGTGCATTAAGCAATGATTAAGTGGCTTCAGCACCAACTTATGGATAATCAATATTTCTGTTAAAGTTGGTATCAGAAATCCAGCATTGAAACAATCTTGTTATTTTTAACCACATTTAATACTGATTCTATTGTAACAGTTGCCATGGTTATATCTACTGAAGAAATTTCTAGATTGAATGGAATTGGAAAGGGAATATTTTGATCATACAGCCCCCTTCAGATAATCCAGCTATGTTTAAACTATTAAGACACGTCTGCAGAGCACTTGGATATAAAAAACCACTTTCAGCAATTCTGTTGTATTGAATACATAAGTTCTGAAATCTCCAGTTGTGCTGCTTCTAATGTTACAGCATTTGTTTTAATGTTAGCTTCCATAAAGAGAGCATTAATATTGTCATCTTTAGTGCAATTACAATTTTTGTTTACTTTATATAGGATATCACAGAGGGCCTCTTGCCTTTTGGTTCAGTACAGTTTACTCCAAATCCATCATCTACTTTTATACCTCCAAATACATTAAATTTAAGGAGTTTCCGCAAAGTAGTGCAGAAACTGGAACAGTTATATCCAGAGATTTGTAGGTAAGCGTAATATTCAGTGGTGATATTCATAGGAATATATATATCAAACTGATCTCTCATTTATTTTGTTTTAGAGACAACATTTTGGATGCTTTGGTAGAGATAAAAGAAAACAAGGGTCACCTTAGTGGTTTACCCCTAAGCACAATTGTTCAAATGACATCATCTCTCCTGAATAAGAAATTTACATCCCAATCTGACAAAAAGTAATCTGAGAAATAAGTGAGTACCCTGAAAATGCATTGAAAGTATGTTTAATCTGACAAATATATTTCCTCTGAATTGTAATGAATTTCTACCCTTACTACATTTTACATTTGTATCTTAATACTAAACGTTGGAGGTAAATGCCCAATTAATTCAAGTGTTTTTACTACTGTGATAGTTGGCTTAGCATCAGGGCATAAAACCGTAGTTTTTCTATGTGCTGCTATTTTTATGGAACTTTTAATCAAAAGCCAAAGGTCTTGAAATTCAAAGGTATGAAATTCATATTAAATAGCCACCATGCTATAGGAAAATGGGAAGAAAATAAAGTTCTACCTTTGGATAGGAAAAATCAAAGGAGGTTACTATATGGGACAACAGCACATGTGAAAACATTTGGGTATGTTGGTGGATTACAAGCTGAACATGAGCCAACTGGGTGGTGTAGCTGTGAAAAAAACAAATTCAATCCTAGGCTGCACTAGGATCAAGAGATGTCACCTGGATGATTGCGTTTAGTTCTGGAATACCTGGATATGTGAAGCTTGAATTGAAAGGTGTTGATGACTGAGGGGAGGTAGGAGAATGAAGGCACTAGGAAGGAGTTGAGGCACACCAACCTTCTCTGTGTCAAAATACTCCAGAATTTTACGTGAAACTCTGAACACCCAAAAATACATCTCTAGTTAAAATAAATGGAGAAAACTAATAAAAATACTGTTGTTAGTATCTATGAGGGGTAATGGGGAATTTTAATTAACCACAATATCTGTGAGAGACACTCTACCAAACATAGTCTTCCTAGATGTTTCATTTGCAGTGCTGATAACTTTTTCCTTCAGATGGTGGAGGAAGGCATCAACTATCTTTATTTGGTATTACTGATAGCTTAGTCATTTAAATTTAAAACCTAAGGAACTGGGCTCTAACTATAGTTGCAAGAAAAAGTATGTGAACCTTTTGGAATTTCATGGTGTTCTGCATTAATTTG